GCCATCTATTACTGTTTTTCCCCTTTCTTCCAACATTTTTTTTTTTGGAGTTAAGGGCATCGCTGTAACACTTTTTATAGAGCTGTGGCTCCTTTGAAAAGCTGCCACCAAAGCTGGTTGTGCGATACAAGGCCAAGGTCATAGCCGAGACACTCCAGCACACCAGGCTCAAGTCTGGGCCTGAGAAACAAAGCAGCTTAGGTAATCTGCCTGCACTGCTGGCTTGTTTACAGCCTAAAATCATCCAACTGTACTTTCTTGCCCTGTCAGAGAGCAATACAAGGAAAGTCTAAAAAGGTGATTCCTGCTCAGTAGCATCAGTGGACACATCTCCCAACCACAGGGTCTTTCTTCTCATGGTAGAGTCTGCACTCTCCACTTGACTTATTTTTAGAGTAATTTAGCAATTCAGCAATGTTTTCCTCCTTAATGGTACTGAAAAGAAACCCCAGCGCTTTTGTGCTGGGATTGAGGGGAGCTGAAGGGAATAGGGGTGGGTGGGGTGACGGGATGGAGGTCAGGGGGCTATAAGGCGTGTGGGTCCCAGCTGCGGGTGCTTTGATTCGGCCCGAGAGGTGAAAGCGGCGATTGAGGCGCGAGGCCGTGCCAGTTATCTTAACCTCCCACACTTCAAAAGCCGGGCAAGGGCTCGTCCCACTCCTTCCTCCCTCCCTCCCTCACATAGAGGCAAAGGAATTGGGGGAGAGTGAGAGAGAGAGAAAGGGGGGAGACTAAACCTTCACTCACCCTCTGAACAGAGGAGCGTTTCATTTCCTGCAAAAAAGACCGGCCAACATTCCTGAGCACTAATGTGGACGGAGGCGGAGGAGGAGACGGAGGGAGGCGAGAAGAGAGGAGGGGTCAAGTTGCTCCTGAATCCAAGTGTTTGTGTCGGCTGGACCTTGTGAAACACTGGCCTGGTGCCCCCTATAACCAACCACCACCACGCAAGCACACACCCCTGCTGTTAGCACTAGCTCTTTTTGAAAGACTCACACACACACACAGACACACACACTCTTCTCGCCCGCCGCCCCTCAGGACTCTTCCCCAGGCAGGAAGGCCAGCGCTTTTCATGTCTGCGGTGGGGGGAAGGAAAAATGCTCCCCAGGAAACTGGGTGCAGGGCCGGGCGTGCGGGTCCGCTTTGAGATCCTAGGATGAAAAGAGGGAGAGCGGCGGAGGTAAATAAAAGCGACAGGAGCTCTCTCTTTTTCTCTGAGCCATGTGTTCCTTTCAGTTTCTGTCCTGTGCCGCTCGCGGGTCAGCTCTCTTTGGGAAAGGTGGCCTCTGTCCCGTTCTCTTTTATCCACATGTGGTGAAGCAGTCAGCGTGGTGACGCGTGTTTGTGTGTGCTTAAGACAGTTTTAAGTGTTAAGATGCAGCGAACAGCAGTAGCACTCGCCTGACTTCACACTTGGCTTTGCCACAAGGGAGAAGCAAACTAATACCGTTTCTCTTCCGTTTCTCTACCGTCTTCACAAAACATCATCCATCTTTTTAGTCGCAGGAGACATCCATCCACCTCTGTCTATGCCTCTCCACTTTGATCACTGATTCTATTTGATGCTGCTTGGGTCTAAAATAACTCTCCTTGGCTTGTCAATAACTGAAGCTAACTTTGTTATGTTAGCCCAAGCTTGGATCACGAGAGGGGAAAAGAACACTTTTGCAGCTTGACAAACAATTTTCCCTCGTCAGGGAACCGGGGCCCATTTCATGAAGGTCTTGTGAAGTGGAGTCGCGCAACATTTTTACACCCTCGTGTCGACCTCTGCCTGAACCACGCAGGTTTGGGTAATTAACAACATAGCTACATGAACTATGGAAGTCTCCTGTGCAGGATAGTGCGTCTGTGAGTCAGGTGCCTGTTGTGCGACATAGTTTACATGATAGACACAGTTCTCACATGCCTCTTAAGACTGCAGGCCCTGTGGAGGTTTATCCGAGCTCATAGGGACACAGCTGGGGTGATGAGTACATCCTGTCGCTTTTGAAATTATAAATATTGTACATGACTGGTTTTTACTAGTACTAGTAAATAACACAACACACTGGAGATGTGAGGGGGATATTATGTTTTGGCAAAGCTTTATCTCTAACACTCCAGTTAAAGATGGAATACATTTTCCCCAAAGTCACATGTTCAAGATTATTCACATTGAGAAGAAAAGACTACTGTTATTATGTGATGAAGTTCTGCTATAACTTTGATTGGACACAAATATAAATATTCAAGCTGTCATCAGCTTCACTGTCATCTGGTCAGTTGATTAATATCAGCTTTAGCAATACACGGGCACTAAATATGTATAGTCTTTAAAAGTACACAAGTGCTCTTAATAGGTTGTCCTAACAGAGGGGTATACTGAAAGGAAATTCAACACAGTCAGGCTTTCTTTGCATTAGCTAGCTTGACAAAGCCTAAATCCACAGTAAGAGGTGATGGGCTTTATGGCAGTGGTTTTCAGCTTTCTTTGTTAAGCCCAGTTCTCTGCTTCGGGCTCTATACTCGCTCACATAAAAAAGGGGGCATTCCACATGCCATGCGATGCTTTTTTTTTTTTTCCCCACCACAAAATGATCCCTATGAGTGTCCCCTACTCAGATTGGAGATGTTATCAGATGATTATGATGATAGCACACAGAGCAACCAAAATAACCAAATTTACTCGAGTTAATGTATTTTATCACAGCTGTTCGTTTCTGGAGCTCTGCAACTTTATGCACTGGCACCAGATTAAAAACCAAATCTGAAACTAACTAACATTTATGCGGGCAAATTCCAGTAACTTTACAGCTGGGACATCATTTGGTGTTTTCTAAGTAAGTTATGGCTAAACAAATTGCACGCACAATGAAACACATTCTCTCAGCAGAGAATCTACATCATACCTAAAACATGCTGTTAATAAAAGAACCAGTAATAACGTGATGCAACTGATTTTCAGACCTGCTCATGACCAGGTAATGTGTTTAGCATAAGTTAGCTTGGTGATTTATCCAGGTTTAAAGAGAGCCACTTCTGTCTTTAGGCTCAGTGTATCTGGCTAACTTGGTAATCTTGCTTCACAGTACACTCTTTAAGCTGAGCTACTAGAGGTACTACTTTCTGAGTCTGTTAACTGTCTGTAAAGTAGAAGAAACACACTGTAGCAAAAGGACTTGCAGGGGTGGAAGCTAATTAGATGAAGCAACACATTAAAAGTTAATAATGATCCATATAATACACTAATCCTTCTTCAGTCACAGATATCTAGTAATGTATTAGGTACTGTATTCTGCATAAACCTGTGATTCCTCGCCTATTGTCAAAAACAGATTGATGTGGCACAGTAGACCGGGGTCAGTCATAGGCTACACTTGCTTATAAATGCCACTTTGAAGCTATTAGAAATATGCTGCAAGCGTGGGATCAAATAATAGTACCTGCTGGCATTTTTCTAATGTGGGATACGCTTGTCTACCACCTATAGAACCATGAATTCGCTCTTATGTTGTCCCAAGACCAGAAGCGTGGGTGTTCAGACAGACCCAGAATTTCCTTTTTCTTGTTTTCCCGTCGCCCACCTGCAATGGCAGCATAAATGTCAACCAGAAGAAACACAATTGGGCGCTCAACCTCAGCGTGAGAGAGAGAGAAAGAGAGGGAGCATGAGGGGAGGAATGAGCAAAGAAGAGCACAGCACTGCCAGCTGGGTCAAGGCAACCCCCACGTTACAGGAGATCAAAGCTAGACCAGCCCACATCCTGCCACTGACCTATAAGGCCTCTGTAGCTCAGAGGCTCCACACTGCTGCAAAGAGTTTCATTCAACCAGCTTTGACACCACGAACTGAAAGCAAATGATTGATTATGTAGATGCTGATGACAGATAATTTGTTCCCACCCCCTTGAACTAAGGGGAGCATGCTTGCATGGTGAGACACATGGGAGTCACCCTGAGTCATCTCGATTTGTCTTGTCTGGTTTTTGATGAATAGTGTGAATATAACTCATGTTTTGGCATGTGGTGTTCACAATGCAGCAGTTTTGGGGTTTTTTTCGTGTACAGATGCAGTCATTTCTTTTATTCCCTTTTCTTCTAGGAGGAAAACGCAACAGTTTCTCCACATGCAAAGCAAAGGCAGCAGCTTCAGGCCCTCTGCTAGAGATGGAGGCCTGTTAGATCCCATGAAGACCCTTAAATCTCCAAAACCGAAGCCTCCAGTTCTCAGAGAAACCCCCACAGCACCCCACAACCCCCCCTGTTGATACCCTGCCTAACCCTACCCGCTTTCCTTTGCCACCATCACATGCCACCGCCGTCACCAGAATCACTGTTTGACTCTACTTCCTCCCTAAAGGCGCCTGCTGTAGAGACACTGAACCGAACTGACCGAGACAATCATGATTATAGTAGGAGCACCCTCACGTAACCGTGCCGTCTCACTCTGAAAGCATCGAGTTAACATCTGTGTGGTTATTTTCATTTTAATATATATATTTTTTATTTTTGTTTAGTCAGTTTTCCTTTTCAATGTTGGCTTTACTGCAAATCTGTGGCACTGCACTGAAAAATAGCAGCAATTGTGATGTGTGCACAAACGCCCCCCTCCCCCACCCTGCACTGCCCGTAACAGTCAAAACACTTGCTACTAAGTTATTCTAAGTTATTTTGCCACCTCTTTTTCCCCTTTGTGTAGTTCATTAGGCTGTAATTTACTTCCCTACCCCTTGTGTTTCTCTCACTGGGTTTTTTTTTTTTTTGTTGTTGTTGTTGTTGTTTTGAGACCATTTTGGGGGTTTGCCACCACCCCCCACCCCTCCATCCCTGACTGACCAAACACCTCTTTCTAGACTGCACTAAGGAAGATGGAGGGATCTCATCTTGTCCAAGAAACGCCCTCAAGATTTCTAGTTCGTTGCTGACGACCAGTTGGTGCAAAAAAAGGATCAACATTTTGGATTTGCTTTTCATTTTAGACTGAATATTATTTTTGAATGCCTTTTATTTGTATCCTGAACCCTTGTTCAGTTTCTTGGTGTATATTTCTGTGATTATTTTTCCCCTTTGTTTAATATGGTTTTTGTTTTTGTTTTTTTTTATATATATAGTGGTATATATGAAAATAAGCTTTGGACACAGGAAAGCCATTTTTCTTGTTGAAGCGTCTTGCAGAAAATTGAAACTTAAGGCTTCTTTTGATAACTATTTGTAACAAATAGTGACCTCGAGTCTTGCTCAGATGTAAAATAATGCTCAGTATGTGTACTTTTTAAACTGTCAGGATTATGTCAATTTTCTTGGTATTTTTGCAGGCAACATTAGGACAAAGGCGAGAGTGACAGCTCAGAGGCCTATATTTTATTGTTCTAAAACATGACATATGAAGCAGAAATATATATTTACCCCAGCACTTGACAGTCTGTCTTTTATTGCAATGGACCTTTTTGTCTTTTCTCTCTGGTAGCTAATAGTGTGGTCTTTAGCCATGTTGTTTATTCCATGCAAACATCTCTGTAACATCTTGATTTTAATGCTCTATTTTTAGTATTACTTGATTAATTCCTTTTTTTTCTAAAGTCTCATGTTTTAGGTCACTGTCATCTTGGTATAGCATTTTTTTTTTCTTCTTTGCTTCCCAAGTGGTCATATTTGAACCGTTTCAACATGTTTTGTTTTTTTGTTTTTTTTAAAGAAAAACAATAAAAAGGCACCATTGGCTCATTTGATCACTTGTGTGGTGGAAAGACCAGAGCTAGATGTGCCAGATGTAACATTCTGTGTGTCGTCATTGGAGCGTGCAGTTTTAGCACTCGCAGGCAGCAGTGACACTCGGTGGTGTGACACGGATAAAACATGACATCGCTTTGCTTTTGCGTTGGAGGAAACTTATTAAAAAGCTTAGGGAAGCTGACAAGCAACAATATTGGGACTAAATTTATGCAGAATTGCAGTGCTGTGTAAAAGTCTTGAACAACTCCTTAATTTCTTTGTATTGTGATATGAAAATGGGGAGAGAGGTCTAGAGACTTACTGAAAGTTGTGCAAAGAAACATGGAAATGTAGTATATAAATTAAACACAGTTTGTACAGTTCTAACAAGCTTGAAAGTCAATATGTGGCATGGCCATCTTTATACTTCAATACTGGCTGAACTGTTCCTTTTTCCTGACCTTATAATGTGGCATACCTCAGCCTTTTATTCCCATTTCCCCTAATAGCTGCTCTTCCACTGAGACCATTTCTAAAGAGGGTTCAGCAAACAGTAACTGTTTCTTAAGGAAGTGGACGTTCACCTGCTCTAGTTTTTTATTTATGTATGTATGTATTTTTTTTTTTTTCCCACTGCCACTTCTTCTGTTCTTCCTCAAATCCTTGAAGGACACACTGCACACCATGCTGTGATATGCCAGGTTTTTGGCTAACAGCTCTCTGGCTAAGAAATCACCTTGTTAGTGCAAAAATTCAATTTCTTGTTTGTCAAACTTTGTCATCTTTGTCCTTTATTTTTGTAGATCTGACTAAAAATAATGGTAACAAATTATGTGTTTTTCCAGCAAGCTGCTGATAACAGCATAAAAAGATGCTTTAAGTCCCTAAAAATAGTATTTTAAATTAGTAATTTGCCAACTATAACACGGACCTCTCTTGACTTAAGATGCCATTTATGGTTGAATGACTCAATAGTCAGTGTTAAGTCACTTAAACAAACAAAAGCCTAAACAAACAAAAACATTGCTTCGAAAATGATCAAGTACAAAGATTGGATCAAAAATGACTGAAAACGCAACCAATGTTCAAAGAAAAACTTTGAAAAACCTTCAGAAAGCCTGAACTATTGTTCAAGACCACTTAAAAAAAATCAAACAAACAAGCTAGAAGATTCTTGGAAGCTAAATATAAAGAAATGAGACACAAGACTTTTGAACAGTACTGTATATTAAAGTAGTAGTGCTAGCAGTGCTGCTGTGAGAATATAATCTTGGAGTATCTGAGCCTTTAAGGAAGAAAAAAAACTACAATTGAGTAACAAGTTTCCAGATGTAAAAATTGCACAGTTATCGAATTTAACAGTCTTCCGTTAAAACTCTTATGGTGATAAAATGTAATTTTAAAGCAAATTGATCCCTTTAATTAATTTGAAATGTCTTAAATCCAAAGAACCGAATTGTGACCCTGCAGTCTCATCAAGGACCATTTCAAGTGAAACAGCACCACCTTGTGTTTGTGTTGGGTTAACAAGACATGGAAAAGATTGAGAATGTGTCAAGTGTTTTATGACAGCATCTGCAAAGTATTCATTTTGTGCTCACAATTAATTTAAGTTTAAAAGGGGGGGAAACGTCCACAGGTTTATGTGAAAATAGTCTTTTATTTGTACAGCACTTTTCAAAACTTAGCTACAAGATTAAAACAAAAGATGTGAATAACAGAATACATGAATACAATAAAAATACATATGTGAATAATAAAAATAAGGGAATGACAGCAAACCCACGTAATCACTAAAAGCCTAAAAACAGTTAACTGTGTAAGATATAGCCAGTGTAGTCTGGCAGCTGAACCATAACAAAGTCACTGGCCACTTTGTTAGGTACACCTATTCAACTGCTTATTAACACAAATGTGCACATTTATAATCAGCCAATCACATGGCAGCAACCATGTAGACACACCATGTAGTTGCCCTACCGTCGCTCATACCGAGCATCAAAATACAGAAGTAAAGTGATTCGATTCTAGAGTCTCCCTGAGTGTTGCTGCTGACACTGTTAGTATAGCCATCTTTGGATGGCCATTTCCAACATGATGATAGGCCAGATCATCTCAAGCTAGTTCCTTCAACATGACAATGAAGTCACCAGATCTCAATCCAGTAGAGCACCTTTGGGTTGTGGTGGAGCAGTAATACAGCCCCCAAGTTTTGGTCGAATTTACCAACATTTACTTTGTATTCTGATAGCATAATTTGTGCCTCGATTCTTTTAAAATACACTGTAGATAACCATTTCTTGCAAAAACACTGTCATTTATTTCTCCTTTGAAAACAGTTATCACTCTGTTCCACTGTACTTACATTTATAGGTATGAATGGGAATTGCTGTATTATAAAACACTAATAAATTTCTTAGCAAAGCAATTAAATGATGAGTGAATTATTTACCAAGTGAATTATTTAAATTCACTAGAAGAACCATACCCCCCACCCCTTTTTAATTTTTTAAAAATCTAATGTTTGTTTGCATATGTGATGTTTTCCAAGTGTAAAAAAATAACAACAAACAAACAGGCAAACAAACATCCAGATACAAATTGGATAGCGTAATGTTGCAGTGGATTTAATCTAAACTATCAATATTTGCTCCTTCACTTTCTTCTTCACCTAAAGCCTGTACCATAAATGAGAATTAAGTGCTTAGCAAGGTAACTTCAGGATTAACTGGGTTTTCAGGGTTGTGAAGGTGGTTAGTGGGATAAATTTCCATGGTAACTTATGCCGCAAACCTAGCCTTAAGTTTAAGAGATCAGCACTACAAACCCACAAATCATTTCACCATCCTGGAATATCTGTCAGATCCCCTGCACTGGCAGAAAGCTGCTTTTTAGAGAAACCCCCAAGCATCTTTCCCAAGGACTCTGCAACAAACTAAGGAGGTGGGGATCGAATCACCGACCTTCGGAATCATAAACAACCTGCTTTAAATCCTGAACCACATAAACAACAAGATTTTCGAGAGCCATAGCTGTGAGCTGGGTAACCAGCGAGGAGAATGGTATCAAATGGTTAATGGGTTTAAATTTAAAAAAGAAAGATACAAGAATTCATTTTGCTACTGTGAATGAGTTCCCTGTGATGTTATCTGCAGCACTAATATTCTCGCCTGGATTCTTTCCAATATCACACAGACTTTCCAATATAGCACTGGCAGGGTCAAAACCATTGATGGCCAACTGGGTCAAGTTCTCACATAAATGAGGTGTTATTGTAATATCCTTCAGCTTCATCCATAAAAATCTAAAACTGTGCCCACTTTATATTTATCACTCTGTAAGAGCCTCATTTCAATAACTTGTCTTCTGGATCTTACCACATGGTCCAAACTGTCAACCCATCAAACCAGATTTCATTTTGGTGAGGAAGGATAAAGAAACCAAAACTGGTGTGGGTTGTGAATGAAGTGTCTTTTCAGTGTGGAGAAAACCAAAACCCTCACCCCCCCCCCTTACAAAATATCTGCATTTTCCAGGTGTTTTGAGGACATGGAGAAGATCTTCAATGATCAGACCCTATCACACCTTAAAGACCTCACAGTATCAAACTATCCAGATAGAGTGCTTCACTCTCAGACTGCAGGCTTACATTGTGGTTCCTGGAGTTTCCAAAAACAGAATGAGAGCCTTCAGTAGCTTACTCATATTACCACTACTACACATCTCTAACTTTTGTCTTTTCTCTCTTATGCTCTTCTTCATTTCCCCCTCATGCACTAAATTATACTAGATATGGATTTCTTCCTTTGACGTGACATAGTGCTAGCTCATAGGGGATTGTCTAAGTCTTAGGGCTCTTTTTCTAATATTCTAGAGTCCGTACCCTACAGTGTAAAGAGCCTTGAACTTTTTTTGAGTGTCCTTTTATGTCCTCAACATAAAGGCCATGCAAGTTGATGATTGCGGTCTGTAAAACTTTTAAGACAGTGGGGGAAAAAAAGAATCACAGAAGTGCACTTGCAAGTAGCCAAGACTAAAATGGTAACGGTCCAAAGTTACACTTTATAGTTCTTTTTATTTTTTTGCTTTGAATAGAATTTGTGCTGTTTGGAATTTCACTAGATCAGCAATTTTCAATATTTCAGACTGCAAAAATAGTGAGTTTGTATGTTCCCTAAAACCTGCATTGTGGATGATTCGAACTGCTTTTTTTTGCAGAGTAAAAAGTGAATTTAATGTTGTTTTATAGTTGTTGCCCCAGACCTCTGCACTATAGCTTAAGTCTGGTGAAACCAGTGAACAGTAGAGAATATGAAGTGGTGACGTTGCCTGTTAACTGCACCTCTGCCTTATCTGCAAACTTCTTCTTGCCGCTCTTGAGGCTGCCTTCAGTTGTTTTAATGGACTTTTTGAGGATGCTGTCACCCGCGTCAACCAGTGTGACAGAGTGGCCTGTTGATGTGGCAACCTTTAAAGAAAACGGTTCAAGGTCATTTCAAAGCCATCGCTGTTTGTTATTTTTGGAAGGAGACGTGATCAACATAAATATTAATATAACATTAACCATAAAACTTTGAAGAAAAGTGACCTTGATGATAAGTTCATGGCTCCTTTACATTAAATCTGTCTTTGTTGTTTTTACATAACCTTGTTGACAGATGGCACTGAGCAGATATACAAACGCCATGTAAGCAGATTGCTGTGTATTTTGAGCAAACATAGCATGCAAAGAACTCAACTAAAGCACCGTGTGGAGTGTTTACTTTAGGCAAAGCATAAGAACACAAGAGTAAACACTGAAAAATGATGTAGATTAAATTCTGTAGAATGCAGAGGACACACAGAAGAGGAAAAAATAGCTTCCTTTTTCTTAAAAAAGAAAGCAACAGGAACTGCAAAGACATGATAAGTTGTACACTGCCAGTTCATTCTTGTGTACATATTTTCCAGTGTTGCTTACTGTTTAAACAACAATAGAAAGAGCCTACCTGGAAACAAAAAACCCTGCAAGTGAACCATTATCTTGGACGAAGAAATGTGGTCTGAAAAACAAATCCTGATCATGATTGGGGATCAATGAAACATTTGGTGAAATCAAATAATTAAATGAATCTATAGTACAACTCAAAGCTGTTTAGTGGTGAAAACACATGTACAACAGGAAGAAAACACTAGTGATTGGGACTAGCTGTAAGAAGAAAGTTACTACTGAAGTGCTGTGTTCACAACTTTCTTCTTTTCTTAACACCTTTCTCACCAGAGTATGGCTTTGAACTTATCAGTGACTCACGCTCCCAGAATATTTTTTGTTGTAGGAATAGCCTATACAGTACTGTGCAAAAGTCTTGAGCAACCCAATGCTGACTTACTACTTGGTATGATCACCTCTATTCTTCGAGCAGTATTCAGGAATAGTTCTCCAGCCTGAAGCTGTCTTTCAGGCACGTTTTATGAAATTATTCAAAAATAATTTAGTTCTTTCACACAAAATGTCCCCTCTGTGAATAGTATATTTTATTCATCCAACTTCCAAAACAAAAGTAGAATTAAAAAGTCCTATGTCTTTCTTTCATCAGTGTGCATAATGAATTTCCTGTGTGCGCAGAGCAAAGTTGCACATTATCAGCATTTATTTCTAATGAGAGTTGGCCGCTGTCATAACAGCAAATGTCTGAAAGCATCTCAGATACCTGTTTCTGTTCCCAAAGTTGCTGTGAAAAACGTAAATCAGTCCATAAAAGAGAACTGAGAATCCAAAAGTATGAATTCATATGAATTCTGCACCAGTCAGGGCAGACAGAGTCAGACTCTGCTCAAAGGTTGAGTGGCTTTATGTCCGTTACTAAAACAAACCCCAAAACCTAAAAAAAACAAAAAAACATTAAAAGCAGTGTTACTGTAATTATTATAATAATCATTCTATAATTTATTTTATTGTTCTGTGCACACAGCAATCACTAGTAATAGTGTCAAAAACTGTGAAAACAACACTTTTATGCTATCAACTTTTAAAATGATATTATGAACTTTTTAGCAAACAAAGCTTTATTTAAACCTTTTGTCTTTTGGATACATCATGAAAGTTCTGACGGAGAAACCTGAGTCAGTTGGGATCGGTAACAGCATCACGAACACCACCACACTGAGCACTGGAGCCCCTCAGGGCTGTGTGCTCAGCCCACTGCTGTTCACTTTGCTGACTCACGACTGTGTTGCACGGTTTTCTTTATTTTGCAGTTTGCAATTTTTGCACACTTGCACTTTATGTAGTCCTGTGTTGATTGTCTGTTATATGTAACACCGTGGTCTTGGAGGAACGCTGTCTCGCTTCACTGCGTACTGTACCACTCCACGTGGCTGAAATGACAATAAAGCCACTTGAGTTGACTTGAAAGTCCAGTATGAAAGTATCCATCACAGCAACTTCAAAAGTTTAGTTTGAGCGCTGCCTTGTATGGCACAACCACTTACATTTTAGTCTTTGTCTTAACAATATCATCATTCTTCTATTACCATTAAAATGTTTTCCTTTTTTAACTGATGCTCATAAATATGATACATGCACATCCAATAAGTCATCGATATCTCTCACTCTAAAAATGACAACAGACAACAAGTATTTAAAAATCTATTTATTCAGCTTTAAAATTCACTGGACACTGAAAGGAAACTGACAGGCTGACTTAGCAAACAGTTGCTCTTTAATGCACACGGCAAAGGCACTTATCTATTCCAGTGTCTGATCAGTTGTTGAGCTAGTTTCAGTGATGAATGCACACATTCACAGGAGATCACTTGTGCTTGTAGAATCCCTCTCCTGTCTTTATGCCAAGTTTGCCCTCTGCAACCAGCTTGTTCAGCAGGTCACTCGAATCAAAGAGAGGGTTCTTAGGATCCTTCGTCTTGAAGGCTAAAGACATACAGACAGACGGTCCCATCTCATCACAGGCTGTCACATGTTTAAATCAAAATCACATAAACAACTACAGCGTCTATGGATTTTTACTCACCTTCAATAACAGCCTTTACTATGTCTAGTCCTACATAATCAGCAAGTTCAAATGGCCCCATGGGATAACCAGCGCCGAGTTTCATACCAATGTCAATGTCTTCTTTGGATGCATCGCCTGAGAGGTTAGAAAAACAGAATGTCAACAAAGTTAGAGGAATCAGTGAAAAGCTTGAAGGATGCTTGAAGGAGCTGTAGAAACAGCAGGTACACACACCTCTCTCATACAACCGGATGGCCTCCATCATGCATGGAACAAGTAGACGGTTTACAATGAATCCAGAGGTATCCTGAATGAAGAGAGGTTCAACATGACAAGTTTTAGTTCCACACTAAAGACAGAAAGCAGAGTTGTTCACGTGTGTACTCTGTTAAATCATTGCCAAAACAATGTGGGACTCTGTAGTTTTCTCTGGTCCCCTCCC